AAAAGATTCACCCAACTACAGTGGCTATGCTGACTTTGGACATTTTCTTTTGATACTCTGGTGCTTTAAGGCACTTCCCAGCTATCTGTTTATCTTAAGCATTGACAGACAAGATTAATATTAATGTGAAAAGTCAGATGTGTCTGTGAAGTTTTGGTTATGTGGCCGTTTGATCCTGGAAACTGTGCTCGTCCCTCAGGTGTCCAGTAAGAGAGAGAGAGAGAGAGAGAGAGAGAGAGAGAGAGAGAGAGAGAGAGAGAGGGAGCTGCCCAGTCCAGTAGCAATGTCAGATTGCTGCACGAAGCTGAGGCAGATATTTTAGTTCCTTGAGTCACTGACAAACAAAAATCAGCAAATTACATCATCACAGTGACACAGTAGCTGTCATTGTAAATCCCACAAGTCCCATAATGTGCATCTGTGCTGCAGCAAACAAACATAGCAGCCTATTCTTTCTCAAACACTGTAGAGCAGACTCAAATAATGCTTTTATTGCCAAAAGATTTCGTGCACGACCCAAAACCAGGCTTTGCTAAAATATTCAGGGGTGGAGCAATATGCTGCACAAAGTCACAGCTGCATGCAATGCATAAAGTAAACCTCTCCCCTTGACAGAGCCTCGCTGTGCATGCTAAAAGCTTATTGTCAGAGATACTCAATCAGGCTTATTTTTGTTCTCTCATCCTCATACAAAAGGTGCCCTATTTCTAGTGTGACCTTAGTGTAATATAACAGAGTGTTCTTGAAGCAAGCACTTACCTTGACTTGAATTTCACTTACTCATATGGACACATTGTATAATGCAGCATAAGGGTATCCCTGCAACAGTGACACTGACTCACTCACTGACTGACTCACAGTCCTTCCCTTCAGCATCAGGGTAGCTCACTGAATTGAATGAAGCCGCGATCGCTGTACAGTAAAGTGTGCATGTGTGTTCATTTCAGCCAAATGTTGCCTGCTGTAACTTTTGATTTGCAGAACAAGCAGCAGCCCTCAGACACTGTTATCATGTGGTAAATGTCTACAGGTAGTGACTACACCTATAAGTATAGATAATGAGCTCATGCAGTGGGTGTGGGAAGATTTCTGCAAGGTTATCTGGCTAAGCGAGATGCAGCTTGGCAGTATACCGCAGTGGACCAGTGTCCTTGTGTCTCTCCTGGTGTCTGGCTCTATTCCAGCATCTGCCCTCATCCTGCTGGGCCTCAATCTGACGAGCATGAGTCTCTCCTTTCTCTCCCTTTTCTCTTCTCCTCCCTCTCTTTGCACAATGCTCTCTCTTCCCTATCCCTCCCTTTTTTATCTCCACCTCTTTTATGTCTACGCCTCAGATGTACTGTTAGCTCCAGGGGACACAGAGAAGGACACAGGGAGCTGCACTGCTATATATTTGTGTACCTAAGTCACCCTTTTTATTCATTGCCTCCACTTTCCGAGCCTGGTCCGGTAGTTGTATGCATAACCTGGCCTCCTTTGCAGGGGCACCTCAGTTTCTCTCTCCTGAGCAGTGATACTGGAATGACTCATCTCCCAGAGGGTTAAATAAATTGAGTTTCAGTGGAGATGCATTGAAAAGTGTTTAGCAGCAAGGTAGTGGGATTGCTAGATACCCCGGGAAGTGAAAGAAAACACGGTAGAAAGTAGAAAATTGTAGAATCTATAGGATGAGATCATTTTACCATAAGATTCTCAACTGATACGGTGGTGGTTTTGCATGTGAGAATTCACTAATGAGCAACTATACACAGGAGAGTGTTGAATCATCATATCTAAAAGCAGAAAATCTGTTTTAATGCAGATGCAAAGTGATATGCAGAGCTCATCTGTTTCAGCTTATTGCATTGTGTTGGCTAGTGAACTAGCTTGGGTCCTTAAGTTGAACCATGTTGGACCTTTTGTTTGCAGCCTTTTTCCTACTGTGTGTGCGTGTGTGTGTGTGTGTGTGTGTGTGTGTGTGTGTGTGTGTGTGTGTGTGTGTGTGTGTGTGTGTGTGTGTGTTCTGGAAACATGTGGCTGCTGCAATGCAGTATCAAGGAGGCACAATAGACCTCCAGTGTTCATAAAAAGAGCACTGCACTCCAGGGACTTGGCTGAACAGCACTGACACTTTGTATTGATAAAACATATGTACATATGAGCCACCAGTGGACTTTGTGTACAGCACATTTTGTAGTGATTCTAGTATTTATATATTTTTGTATTCATAAGAAATAACTATCAAATACACTAAATAAACATTTGTCCACTGCATTTCTTTGGTAGGGCTAAGTCTTGAACCTCAATACTTAAAGACTACAATAGCCATATAGTTTTTGAATAATGTAAGTAATAAGTAACGTAAAGTGTAGATTTGTAATATTTATTTGTATTTAGACAACACTGAACATTTGAGAAACTTCTTTTGTTGAGTAGAAAAGGGATTTTGTAGAAAATATGATCATATTTCTCAAATTAAGGTTTAGTTTTGGCAAAAGTACCAAAACTCAGCTATTATATCTGTACCAGGCATTCCCAGATTAACCTGGGCAAATAACATATAAATGTTTTGGTGTATACGTCCACCGGTCAAGCCGCTAACTTATGGTTTAGCCCTCTGCTAACTTGAATGGGGATAAAAGGATATAATTGTGCAGCTCTTCTGGAAATTCGTGGGGGTTGTGACACTTGGAAAAACACCGGAAAATGTCTTTTGGGGCCCGTGTGCATCACATGGACAATGTCGTGTTATGTTGATAATGTTGTTTTTAACATTCGTGAGCAATAATTCTGGCCATATCTTTTCACATTGCTCCTTTACAGTAAATAAAACTACAGCAGTGAAGGAATCCTCAAGTTCATTTTCTCTGCTTCTTGTTTCTGCGCCAAAACATCATCTGTCGGAGACGAGGACGAGCCCTGAAATCGATGCCTCTTGTAAACAAATTCATTGTTGACACCCTCATCGGCCAACTTTTTCAACCATCCATGTTCACGTCCCCATATGACTGAAACACGCACAGCATTTATAGCTGGACGCTTCGCTTTTAATTAAAGCAAGCCAGCTAATGAAAAGTGAACTGAGCTTTAGAGCCTGCATTAACTGTCTTTGTAATGGGCCCCCAGCTCATAAATAATGGCAGCGCTGTCATGAGGAACCTGGGAAAGCCATTAAGAGATAGTGAGAGGTATCCGCATGTGTGGCAGCAGACAGACTGACAGAAGGGACGAGGCTGGGAGACATGATGGTCTCGGGTTTGCCAGGAGTAACCTTGGCAAAGCCGAGTCCCACACAAATCATCCCTCTGGCCTCTCCCACCCCCTACGGTTTGTCCTCCTTTACTTCCCCCCTTCACAATCGAGGGATTCCCGCTGACCTTTGGCTTCTCCGGAGGTCATTTCTGGCCACAGTGCTTTCATTCCCAGCCAGCGTGGAGAGGCTTTACTATTGATCAGTTTGTTCTTTGTTCTGAATATATCAGGGCACGATGATGGAGGTTTTGCTCTATTTTAGTCACCCTCCTATCTATTATTAATGAAGCTTGTTGCCAGGAAAGGTTACAAATATAACTGCTGTAGCAAGAATTACAAGGCAAAAAGAGACTTTGTAATTGTTGTCGCTGCTGTATGTGCTTTTTATTACAACAATGGAGCTCAGAAAAAAACACCAGAATGAGAAAAAAATGTCTCCTGAAACATGCATTTCAGGTAGATTGTTTGTGGGATGTGCTGAAACATTTTCCAGAACACCAGCTGCTGCCTCATCTACTCAGTTACTGTACATGTCTGTGAACAACAGCCCTCATGTTGGAACCATATATCTTCCTAGAATAAAAGAACTGATACAAAACAATCAAATACAGCACTAAATGCTTATTTGATAATTAGGCAAACAAAAAAAGTGAAACAAACTGACTACATCCGTGCTGCTGAACAATGCTGGAGATGTGTACCGCTTTAAGTTGCCCACACTGCAGATAAGGTAAGGAGTGGTATGCTACAGTGCGGCTGGAGAGCGCGTTTTTTCGCCCTTGCCTTTGTAGTATCTGAAGGCTTATCTTAAAGCTTATAAAGTTAAAGTACATTTTGGTATAAGTTGAAATGATATTTTGTTACCATATGTAGTGTTAGAAGTTCATGAGGTTCAATGACATCATTCTTACTATGGAATGTTTTAGGGGCCTCTCAATGGCCTCTGAACTCTATTTTGAAAACCCCCATCTCCCCTTATTACCTTACATATTTGGATTGAATCCAGATGTTTCTTTCCAGTTTTGGAGTAAACAACAGACCTATATAAACCTATGTTCGATACAAAATAGACAGAGTTGTTCATTTGGCAGGATGCTCTCCAAGCTCCCGGGGCCTGAAATGATGCTTTACATTTTTGTAATAAACCTTTAAATACAATCAAGACGGTGTCAGCGGACTTCTCTTCAACACATCTTCACATCATTGCTACTCAATATACAACAAGAATTTGGCGTCACGAACTCTGGACGTGCTGTGACCTGCTGCCTCGCTGACGACTTCAACGTACTGACTCCCGCATCAAAAGCCGGCAAATAGGGTGAGCATTTACTCACAAATTTGGGCGCTGGTTCGTTCGTTGAGGTTGTGTGTGTGTGTGCTGTCTGGTTACACCATGAAGGACCTGGTATGTGTGTGCCATGCTGTGTTGATGTTTGGGGAGAGCTTCCGTTCTAAATTGTGTTGCGTTGTAGACAACGCAACAGGGGGGAGTGTGAGTGTAATTAGGGAAGATAGAAAAATAGGAAAATAAGGTAAAGGATAAGGAATAGATGTAGAATAGCCTAATTAGTAACGAGAAGGTGAGCTAAAGAACTATGCAAGATTAATGGAGACTGGGCCCTCAACTCCTTAACGGTAAGACATGTGTAAATTAGACACTGCGTGAAAGTAGGCTTTAAGGAATAGTCAAATTGGATTAAAGGAAAAAGAGACATCATTCTTACTATGGAATGTTTTAGGGGCCTCTCAATGGCCTCTGAACTCTACTTTGAAAACCCCCATCTCCCCTTATTACCTTACATATTTGGATTGAATCCAGATGTTTCTTTCCATTTTTGGAGTAAACAACAGACCTATATAAACCTATGTTCGATGCAAAATAGACAGAGTTGTTCATTTGGCAGGATGCTCTCCAAGCTCCCGGGGCCTGAAATGATGCTTTACATTTTTGTAATAAACCTTTAAATACAATCAAGACGGTGTCAGCGGACTTCTCTTCAACACATCTTCACATCATTGCTACTCAATATACAACAAGAATTTGGCGTCACGAACTCTGGACGTGCTGTGACCTGCTGCCTCGCTGACGACTTCAACGTACTGACTCCCGCATCAAAAGCCGGCAAATAGGGTGAGCATTTACTCACAAATTTGGGCGCTGGTTCGTTCGTTGAGGTTGTGTGTGTGTGTGTGCTGTCTGGTTACACCGTGAAGGACCTGGTATGTGTGTGCCATGCTGTGTTGATGTTTGGGGAGAGCTTCCGTTCTAAATTGTGTTGCGTTGTAGACAACGCAACAGGGGGTAGTGTGAGTGTAATTAGGGAAGATAGAAAAATAGGAAAATAAGGTAAAGGATAAGGAATAGATGTAGAATAGCCTAATTAGTAACGAGAAGGTGAGCTAAAGAACTATGCAAGATTAATGGAGACTGGGCCCTCAACTCCTTAACGGTAAGACATGTGTAAATTAGACACTGCGTGAAAGTAGGCTTTAAGGAATAGTCAAATTGGATTAAAGGAAAAAGAGAGTGACAACCCTGGGCCCAGGGAAATTAGGCTTAAATAAAATAAGGAAATAAGGAATAAGGAAAAGGATTAGGACGCCGCTGATTTGGACAAAAGCCCTCAAGGAGGTGATTTTAGATGGGCCGCAAATCCTGGAAAGTCACTAGGTGAATTTCAGGTCAGTTCAAGGAACTGGAGGTGTAGAATAAAAATTCAATTGTAAGTTCCCACTCAATACATTTGTTGACGAACGGTGTCTGAAGCAGCCTCTCATTGAATATCTACACCTCAAGGTAGCAAAAATTTAGAAAGGAAAATATAAAGGAAAAAAGGATAAAGGAGCGGCAGAAGCATGCTTTAGGAATAGTATGAATGAATTGATTTAGAGGATTAAGAATTGAATGCTGTTTGTGTTTTTGGGATGGTGTTGACTTTGCTGTGTGTTTTGTGACTTGGTTATGTATGTTTGCTGCTGGATAACTAGTTTTTGTGTGTGTATGAGAGACAGAGCTTGTGTGTGTATGTGGAGAGTGCTGTCTCTGCTGTGTTCCAGCTGTGTGTGAAAGGCTGTGCAGAGGTTGATATATGTGACTCAGATATTTATGTCTATATATATATGTTGTGATTGAGAACAGGAGGTTTAGTTATTTTTAAGGAAAGATATTCTGTTCATTATTGTTAAAATTTATGAGTCTCTTTTGAGAGAACGTTTCAATTTGTTAAAATCTATGAGTCTCCGTTGAGAGAACGTTTTGAAACTTGTTAAAACTCATGAGCCTCTGGAAGGACGTTATGATTCTGTAGAGAAGTGGAGAGATTAGTGAAGAGTGAAAGGGGGGTGCTGTAACCGTTTAGCTTGGGTGCTGCTAACCGCAGCTCTGTCCATTTCGAAGTCACATTGGCAAATGAATTGCACATGTGTGGAATTTTAGGAATTTAGGACATATAGTCACTCCCATGCCTACATAGAGGTGCTATACCTTGCAGCCCCTGAGCTGTAAGGAGGAGGGGTAGATAGAAGCCCAATAAAATATTATGTTTGTTAGTGGTTGTTGCTTGATTATAAAACTATTCGATTGAGATCCATTAAATTTATAAATGAGAATTATGTTGACAGATAAAAGAAAAAATATGGGCAAATGTTATTTCGGCGATTAAAAGTGTTCCTGAGTTAAGCTGATTGATATTCCTTAGCTTGACTGTAAACACAGGTATGTCTAAAAAGATAGGAAAATATACATTGTGATTACTCAAAGTTAACACCTGTATAGTTAGTAAGGGAGTGCATTATGAAAGTTAGGAGGGAATGTCTAGGCTGTGGCCTCCCCTCTATGTTGCATGAGTAAAGGAATTTGATTTATCACACTGGGTTCATAATTCTTTAAAGAACTAGAAGGAAGAATTACCCCTATGTTTGGTGACAAGGGGGGATGGAAGTGTGGCTGATCAGCGCCTGGGTCAAGACTGAAGGTAAATGCCGGCAGGGAAAGTTCCGCTCCGACAAACGGAGGGCAGGATCCCGCCTGATGTCAGACTTAGGTGGTGGACAGTGTCCACTCCATCCATTGGAAAAGTGAGTACAGTGTTTTGAATCAAATCAAGAATGAAAAAGACCAGTCATAACCACTACTGGGTCTGTGTAGTTCCTGAGTAGGAACTGGCATAGTTGCATAATGAAACATATATGAGGTGATGGGAGTTTCCAAGCCTATGTTGATGTAAAGCCAAATGAGATATTGAAATGTGGTTTCAGGTTTTGCTGAAACCATTAAAGCAAAAGACGAGATAAGAAGAAGAATAAAATAGAAAAACAACTAAACGTTTAAAATAGGAAAATACAAATAAAGAGGATAACCAGAAATGGGGACTAAATATAAGAGAAGTAACTAAGACAAGAATGGAAATTACTGTGATGCCTAGTGGATAATACACCACGATAGAGGTTTCTTTTGGTGAGATTTTGGGGAATGAGAAATAAAATTCCCGCTAACGACTATGAGGGCATATGAGTGAAGAAAATAAAAAACTATAAACTTTGTGTTTACTCAGTCAGTGTCTGGTATACATTGTGTATACTTCAAGGGTGTGCTGCTGGGAGCATAGGTGTCATAAAAGCCACCTGGCTGATCTGAATTGTCTAGAGGTTTGTGTGTATGATAAGATCAGACCATACATGGTATGGATGATCTGTGGGATTGAGAATGATGTGTGAATGATAAGCCCATTAAAGTTAAAAGCAAACCAATTCAAGTGAGTTTATGGTAGAAATGGGGATAAAATTGGGGAAATTAAATTCCTTACTTTACTCTCTTAAAGGCATTACTGAAATTTCAGAAAAAGGGAGAAACAATGTAGAATGAGGATGTTGAAATTTGGTATCATGTAATTAGTGTTGTCTATCACAGGTACACATAGAAGAGATTGTTTAAAGATGGTGTAGAGAAATGTTTGAAGAAAGAGGACAAGATAGTAGGGAAGAAAATATAAATGGGTAGACCTTCCAGATATGGGAGTGAAGCAGAGAGGTTGAATTATATAGAAAGAGTGAGACAGTAGAAAATAGAAAGATGGAGTGGAGAAGTGTAGAGCCAGAAGAGGGGCTGAACCTCCCCATATGCTGTCTCCTGCTACAAGGACCCCTCTAAGATAAACAACTTCAGGAAGACCAACTGTGCCTGACCTGTTCTCGCTCTCTGAATCCTACAACAGTGACTGGGAAAGGGCAGAGAAAACTAACTTTGCCTCTCCCAGGAAGTCTTTTTTGTCACTAGTAGATACCTACAATCACAGGCTGGGGAGCCAAAAGGATAATGGAGTGTGATGATGACATTCACAGGCTGGGGATTGGTGACTGTGTAGATACACATCTTGTATGTTTAAGAAACAAGAGGAACGTGGATTTAACCAGATGAGGAAACAAAGAGAACAGAAGAGAGAGATGGTGGAAAGATTTCTTGACCTTCATCCCTTGTCCGATCTGGTGAGAAGGAGAAGATCCAAATGAGTTTTGGTCAGAGGCACCAACAAAGGACCACAGGAACAACCGTAGGAGACAGTGGGGTGCAGATCAGAGTACTGAATAGTACATAGACATAGATACAGACACACAAGGAGAAGATAAATGATGACAATGATGAGCCAGTAGTTACAGATTAATGATATTTACAGTTAACACTAGATGCAAAGACAATTTTAGGTTAATCCTAAATATAGTAAGTGATATAGTGAGATTCTTTGTAGACTTAGGAGTAGATGTCTCCATAGTCAAAGCATTGCTTTTAATAGTTTTTGATTGTTTGTGAAGTTCTGATTTGGGGAAAATATAGAGTGCAACTCTACATTAGACTTTGTAAAAGAATATATCACCTCAGTCTTGAAGCAGTTGAAGATATTGTTTTTTCCTCTTATAGATGAAAGAGTCATTATTGAAGGTAATCATTCACTATGTAATTACCCAAAGATGCTAGTAAAGAGATCACATAGGGAGTGGAGATATTTGAAGACTTTAGGGGGATAAAGTAAGAAACTGGACTAAATGTTACAACACTAATGTCATAGGTTACAGTAGGATCCTGGTGGTGTTGTAGGGAATTGATTTAGTGAATGCAGATTTAGCATTCTGGTGAATCCTAACTCACAGTTCTTGTTTGTTTTACTTGTAAGGGGTGAACAATGCTGGAGATGTGTACCGCTTTAAGTTGCCCACACTGCAGATAAGGTAAGGAGTGGTATGCTACAGTGCGGCTGGAGAGCGCGTTTTTTCGCCCTTGCCTTTGTAGTATCTGAAGGCTTATCTTAAAGCTTATAAAGTTAAAGTACATTTTGGTATAAGTTGAAATGATATTTTGTTACCATATGTAGTGTTAGAAGTTCATGAGGTTCAATGACATCATTCTTACTATGGAATGTTTTAGGGGCCTCTCAATGGCCTCTGAACTCTACTTTGAAAACCCCCATCTCCCCTTATTACCTTACATATTTGGATTGAATCCAGATGTTTCTTTCCATTTTTGGAGTAAACAACAGACCTATATAAACCTATGTTCGATACAAAATAGACAGAGTTGTTCATTTGGCAGGATGCTCTCCAAGCTCCCGGGGCTTGAAATGATGCTTTACATTTTTGTAATAAACCTTTAAATACAATCAAGACGGTGTCAGCGGACTTCTCTTCAACACATCTTCACATCATTGCTACTCAATATACAACACCTTCCCCATCACCAGCACGTCTCTTGGTATGCATAGCAGTGCCCGAATGCAGGTTTGACCAAGCTTTATACCAGCCCAGCGGCCACTGCTGACTACAGAAATGTTTCACCCAGAAATCTTTCTTACACCTCAAAAAAAAAAAAAAAAAAAAAGGTGTAAAGGCTGCAGGACTAATAAAGGCCGCTTTATATTTATGTGGGTGTGTGGGGTTTTGGCTCAGTGTAATTGCATAATCTTGTAGCCCACTACGGAGGGCGATTCTTTCATGCATGTCGTTTTAAGTCAGTGTCTGAAGACGCTGCCCTGCTCACCATGTAACGAGACTCACAGAACTGTCTCTCTGTCTCTGTGCACTTGACTCTTGCCCGAGCATATCTGCGGCTCAGACACTGGATTCTGGTCGAGATGTTGTTTCATGTGGCGGGTGCACGCCTTAATAAGAAACAAACATGTAAATTGGCTGGGTGACGCATGAATGGGGGGAATTTTTCTGAGCGGTGGGGTTTATTCTCACACTGAAATGAAAAGGACTCATTATTGATGCATATATCCCAGAGCGCGTCTAATTATTAAATCTTGGTAATAAGATTATCTTTTTTTCTCTCTCACTCTCTATCTCTCTCTCTCTCTCTCTCTCTCTCTCTCTCTCTCTCTCTCTCTCTCCCGCCTCCACGCCTTGCTTTCTCTTTTTTTCCTCCCCTTTGCAGATGTTGCCTCTCTGAGCACCTTATCGGGACCCATTTACCTTTGCGGCTGTCTGCAGCGCACAGCTCGCCACACAGTCACCCTGGCCTGGAGGGGAACAGTGGAGGCAGATCATTCTGCTGATCCCAGCACCTTTGGTTATTAAGAGAAGCACCGCCACCTCCTTGATCGGTTCCCTCCTCCCTTTTTGCCAATCGCCATCCCACGACAGCCTACCCGGAGGAAAGGAGTCGGGGAGGGGGAAAGCGAGGACACACCCGCACACATACTGTACCCGGTGTACACGGTGAGGATGCTGCAGACAACATGAGGTGAATATCATCGGCTGCCCTAAATTGGAAATTCCTTTTTCCCCCCCCACCCCGCTCTGAAGACTGAAGACCTGATTGTCGCAGCCGGTTATTCACCTTCCGTGGTACCAGAAGTCCAGCAGGAGCATCAACTCACATCAGATATGAAAAATATGTCTGGAGGTATGTATGAAATCAAGATAGAGCAGTTTACGGTTACCTATCATTGGCATTGGCATTATGTAGTTAATGCACTGATTTGCACTTCACTGGAAAACGTGTTAATAGAGAATAAGCCTGCAGTTATACATTTGTGGTATGTTTTGTGAGGATTTTATTTTGTAAAACTGTGCTCCCACTCTGTGAGTGGAGATGATGCAGACAAGAGATACAGTTTTTTCTCTTGGAACCTATTTCCTTCTATGGATAAATTATTTATAGATGTTTTTGAATATTTCAGAGACGGGCACCATTTCAAGACTAAAATGCTCCAACAAAACTAAACTGAAGTCAATTAATATGAGGTGTTTGTTGTGTTGGTTTGGTACAGCTGTAAATCTTGAAACCGTCTGGTACATTTGTGTTTAGACTGCAGTGGTTTTCTATGATATTCTAGACAGGATGCTGTCTGTATGAATTTGGTGCCTGCTGCATTGCCATATTCATGCATGGCTTCACTGCAAAAGGTAGTCCCATTCATTTCAGTAGATACTGTCCATTGCAGCAGATCTGTATCCTAATTTATGAGCTTCTGTACATTTTATGTGCCAGTTAGACCCCGAGTTTACCTGCATTGAAGCAATTTATATGCAAGACGGGTGGTTTATTAGCATATTAATTTGGCCAAGTCAGGAGCAGGGGTGTCAGTCTCAAGTTTCCAATAGCTGATTCATTTTTGTATCGACTGCCTTCTCATAACAGTATAACTTTACATAACTCAAATCTGATGACATTGTTTCAGAGGGTCATTTTCATCTATTTACAGTGGTTTCCTCTTCAAGCTAAATCAAATTCCTGACATCTCTGGATTAAATGGCAGAAGTATTGAGTGCTGAATCATGCTTCAGGTTTACCTGACCTTGTTGTCTGTCTTTGCTTTATCTGTCCTACATGCAGTCAGATCCTAGGTGACATCCTGTGGCCGTCAGGTCTTTACGGTGTTGAGCCCCCTCCTTCTCCTGGCCCCTGCCTGCAGTTCTCCAGGCTGCAGGACCCAGACTCACTGAAAAGTGCAGGCCTCCTCCCCCTGCAGAATGACTGTTGCCACAGGCGACCCCTCTGACGAAGCGGCTGCACACCCGGGGAACCCACAGGACTACGACCCGGAGGCCGACCATGAGTGTTGTGAGAGGGTGGTCATCAACATCTCAGGGCTTCGCTTTGAGACTCAACTCAAAACCCTCTCCCAGTTCCCAGAGACACTGCTGGGGGACCCCAAAAAGCGGATGCGGTACTTTGACCCGCTGAGGAACGAGTACTTTTTCGACAGGAACAGACCCAGCTTTGACGCCATATTGTATTATTACCAATCAGGGGGGCGGCTAAGAAGGCCGGTCAACGTCACCCTTGATATTTTCTCAGAGGAGATTCGCTTCTATGAGCTGGGAGACGAAGCCATTGAGATTTTCAGAGAGGATGAGGGTTTCATCAAGGAGGAGGAGCGGCCTCTCCCTGATAACGAGTTTCAGAGACAGGTGTGGCTGCTGTTTGAGTACCCTGAGAGCTCAGGTCCTGCTAGGATTATTGCCATAATCTCTGTCATGGTCATCCTGATATCTATAGTCAGTTTCTGTCTGGAGACCCTCCCCATTTTCCGCAATGATGAAGACGATATACAGGTGAAAGTTTTTTCACCTGAGACCAACACCACAACCATCAGCTATTCATCCACCTACTTCACTGACCCCTTCTTTATCCTGGAGACTCTCTGCATTATATGGTTCTCCTTTGAGTTTCTAGTGCGCTTCTTTGCCTGCCCCAGCAAAGCAGGCTTTTTTGGTAATATAATGAACATTATTGATATTGTTGCTATCATCCCTTACTTCATCACTCTTGGCACAGAGCTAGCAGAAAGGCCAGATGATGGTCAAGCGGGTCAGCAAGCCATGTCTTTAGCCATTCTCAGGGTCATCCGCTTAGTACGAGTCTTCAGAATCTTCAAGCTCTCACGTCACTCCAAGGGGCTTCAAATTTTGGGTCAGACCCTGAAAGCCAGCATGAGAGAGCTCGGCCTGCTCATTTTCTTCCTCTTCATAGGGGTCATCCTTTTCTCAAGCGCCGTCTACTTTGCTGAAGCAGACGAGCCCGAGTCGCAGTTCGAAAGCATCCCCGATGCATTTTGGTGGGCTGTGGTGTCCATGACAACAGTCGGTTATGGTGATATGGTCCCAACTACGATTGGCGGAAAGATCGTGGGCTCCCTCTGTGCCATTGCAGGTGTGCTGACCATTGCCTTGCCCGTGCCTGTCATTGTGTCCAACTTCAACTACTTCTATCACCGTGAGACTGAAGGTGAAGAACAGGCGCAGTACCTGCAGGTCAACGTGCCCAAAGCCGATTCAGCCGAGGAGCTGAAGAAGAGCCGGAGCGGCTCCACCATCAGTAAATCAGACTATATGGAGATCCAGGAGGCTGTGAACAACAGCAACGAGGACTTTCAGGAGGAGAACCTTAAGACGGCCAACTGCACACTGGCCAACACAAACTATGTAAACATCACCAAAATGCTCACAGACGTGTAGTCATCTGCTATTTCCCTCCCTGTCACAACGGGAAATGTGAAGCTGAGCAACTGGACAGGACAGGTGTGCAGCCTCCCACCTCACTTGTGCTGGAAAAATCAAGGCAATAGAATTCAGGATGCTGATGATGATAGACAGTGAAAAAAAAATATTACAAAGACCATCCGCTCACTCCGCGCTCATCCTGTCTTCACTCCTCACAACTTGCCCTTAAAACTCCTGATAACCGTCAAACAGAGTGAAATTTCAAATTTTGCATTTCTGCATGGAGTTGGCTTTGTGTGGCTGTTTTGAAAAAACAAAAACAAAAAAAACTAAAGATTCCCTGCTCACAACAGTAGCCAACGGTAGTGCACAAAAAGAAAAGAAAAAAGGGAGAAACACAGCAAGAAAAAAAATGATTTATTGCTTTCTAAAAGAAAAAAAGCAACATAACACAAGCCCTGCTTTAGTCCCCCTTCCCTGTGGTCCCTCATTTCCCAAGGCACACTGCTTTGCCATGCGCTGTCTGAAGAGCCCTAGTTGTGCGCTACATATGCTGCTTCCTGGAGCCAATGAAACAAAACTGTCTTATGCTTCACCATTTAAAAATAAGAGGATGTGTGAGCATAAAGCAAGCCCACTCCTGCGCTGATATGGTCTGTGGGTGACTTGTGACGAGGTTGGTGGTTAAGTAGACCACGTTATTTCAAGGATGAATGACAGCCATCAGTGCTAAGCTAATGGTTCGACACCTTTTTTTTCCCAGCAGGCATCAGTATCTGATGAATGGCTGAGAATGGCCTTGACTTTTCACTGCTTTGGTCTTACATGTACTGTATGTATTGCAATGCAAGCTTTCCCCCTTTCATTCACCCAAAACTGGTCTTACTGCAGAGCTTTGAGGACAACTTGAATGTTTCTTCTTGTTTTGTTTGTTTTTCACAGTTTCTCACACACACATACACACATACACACACAGACACACACGCACACACAGTACTTCTTCACATAGGTAGTTAGGTTAACTGTGACTTAACTGATAGCCGGTAGGTAGGCAGGTGCTGTTAGTAGTAAACATAGTCAGTAGATTATTGCATGACATTTTTATCTGAATGAGAATTTCCACTTGTTTCTCGACTGCCACTTGCTTCATCACACCACTGTATATTTGTCTGTACACTGCCTTCTATACAAATCCACACTTTTAAAAGGATGCCTGCAGGTAGCTGTTACAAGAACCTAAAGCTGTATGTTAGAGGATTTCTTAAGGAATAATCATAAGGTCAAATCCTACACTTGATGCTGTGTCCTTGTCAATATTAACATTCCATGTAGAAGTCATTGCCGTTAAACTTTTGCCAGGTCGCTGTAAACGCACCGCAGTTGAGCTGTGATTTCAGGCGTAAACTCACACTCTAGTTTTGGACATTAATCCCAGTTGCAGATGTGATAGACTTGCAGTGCTGACTTTTTCACAGGTTTATCAAATGATCACGTCCTCATGATCAAAATAGCATCTTTTAGGGACTCGTGTATGGAATAACGCTTCCCCCGAACTGCCTTTTATCTGGGTTTACGCTATTCTCCTAGTCTTGCATGACCTCAAAAACATTCCTAGAAGCATGCATTTAAGCTTAAAGAAGATGCCTCTGAGACTAAAAAAAGTATAATTATTACAATAGATATATTTATTTCTTATATATATATAATATGTATACAAACAGTACACATATACAGTACACATATACTTTTATCAGAAAATTTAAAAAATTTAAATAGAGAGAAGAGAAAGCAAAAGCCTTTCCACAATGCGCAGATCATCATGTTTTTATTTTTAATGACAATAATAATTGTTCTGAGCACTGTTTCTGTGTTCTCCTCTTTCAGAGCCTATTCAGAGTGCCAAAGACACACTCTTACTAGCCCTTTCAAAACCATTGTCTTTACTGGTGAGTTTTCTAGCAAACCTCACGTCCTGAATTTAAACACAAAAAGTTTGCTTCACTCAGTTCAAAACTGCCTTCTGTGAAGTAGTTGTTGAAAGGCAGGGCATTGTTCAAAACTGTATCATCCCTAAACAGAATCTTGTAAAAGAAAAGATTTTTATTGGCGTTAAATTGTTCAGAATTTAAATGGAGTCTGGCTGTCCTTTGAGAAGTATTTGATGCCAGAAGCTCAATCTGTCTTTAAAAGTTGCCATCAAATGTGAATTAGGTTCTGATTCTAGGATTGTGTCCAGCTGAGATTTTCACCGTTCGCTCAACACTGCCAAGGTAACGGTCAAAGGCAGTAATGTCAATATGGGAAGTAATAATTAGCAGCAGTGTAGCAGATATTGGCTAACCTAGGGGTCCTCTGACTTCACTCCTGAGTCTCTTGCCTTTCTTCATCTTTTCACAGATGTCTTAGGTAATTAAAAAGGTGATGGGATAGGAAAAGGTCTTGTAGCAAGAACTGTCTAAATGAATGCCAGGATGTACATCTTTATTCTTAGGGTTTCATTCTGCTCACTACAGTCTGCAGTAGCAAAATGTTTTTACGCCATTGCTGCCAATATGTGCTCAGGATGTCTCATCCAACTGCCTGACATGGGGCTTCTGAAGTCGTCTGTCTGTCCAGATCTGTGTCTGCTTCAATGTATCTTGAAAGGATTTTTAGTAGAGTTTTAGTAAATAAACTGGAGCTGTTATTTTTGTTGCTTTTCCAAGAGTAGCATAAAGGTGAATTGAGACAGAGAGATCTCGAGGTAGGACCAGATTAAATAGTTGTTTAGCAATATTCCCATAATCCTTTGGTGTAGGGGTCTTTGTGGAGGATATAGATGTTTGACCTTTATGGACCTCCACAATCCAACCAAGATCTTATTGATCATCAGTTGAGTATTGATGTGAGTGCTTCGATGCACAGCTATGTAGGATTTGTTTGTGCACGAGTGTGTGTGTATGTGTGTATGAGAGAGAGAAAGAGAAAGAACCACTGAATGTCAGTGTCTTTGCCTGGTTGTACAGCTGCATTTATGCAACAGCCATTTGCATATCTGTATATGTGAAAAAAAAAAAAAAAACACTCACAGTCTGACCAAAAATATTTGTCTATGCATGCAAATGCATTGTATCTTATTGTCTTCATTACATTTTTTGGATGGATATTTATGATAAATGTTGCAGGTACTTGCAACATTTATCTGTTATGTTTGTAATTGGGCACATTACTGTACCTCAGCCAAATTCACTGTAGCGACTCATATACTGGAGTTCACAATGTGACAGTTATTTCTGCTTAAAGCACAAAGACGAGTAGAATCATCCTCATCTGTATACCTGCAGATTTAATCTGTAAAATGTTTTTATTCAGTGGAAACAAAGTCAATCGAAATGATCTTGTATTGCTTTATAGGGAGCACCACAGCCTCTAAAAATATCATCTCTCACCTGCTGAGGGACCCACCAGCAAATCCACTCAATGAGAAGGGTGCCCAACAGTGAACTTACACTGAGAAATCTATGCAGAGAATGATTATAAGCTGGTAGTTGAGAAGGTTTAAGTACAAATTTTTTGTGTTTTATCAGACACCAATTACATGTTGATTCTGAGCTGGCAATGCATTTGAAACGAACCTCTAAGCTGAAGAGACACACTTTGCAATATTCTGCTGCTATACGTCAAACACTCACACGTTAGCTGAATGTGAATATGAGCTTTCTGAGCTTTGGGATTGTTTGAACTGCGGTTTCAGCTCTTTGAGACAAGGCTCCTAAAATAAAAAAAAACCTCATACATACGGGAAACAAGATGATCAATATGCAATCTGTATGCATGTGTGTGTTTGAGAGCAAACGTTTTCTTTTCGTTTGACCCCAGAGCCTGATAGTGTGGCATCCACTGAAACAATATGTACAGTTGTTCACCCCCATCCTCCCCGTATCATAGAGGCCTGAAAGCATCCATCAATGTTGATACAGTGGATAATGGATTTTCTTTCTATGAAATGAAATGTGACAGAATAATGTAAATAATAACCAATAGATGATGGAGCAAAAAACCATGTACTATATACTGTATGTGAAGTCTGGATTTAAAACGTAGTATTATCTGCACTTTACGAGACAAAAAGGACAATCTATGGACAAGAAAAACATGAAATTAAAAATGCATATAATCCTTCCAAATGATCATAACTCTGACAAAGTAATATCAATAATGAAGCCAATAATAATTCAAGTGAAACTGTGTTCAGTGTGTTTATTGTGTGTCATTACTGCACCTTTTTTTATTATTTATTATTTGAAATTACTTAGAAATGACTAAAAATGTCCATTTTGTTGCCATCAAGTGTGGACGAAGCAACTGAAAATATGCGAGAGGTGTTTTTCAAATGTTCATCCAGCCTTTTTTCCCCTCACATCACATTGTTTGCAAGGTATTTAGTCAGCAAATGATGTGAGGAGCTAATTTTAGCTGAAGAGAGTCTGCGCTGATACAAAATGCCATGAATCGATCACAGGCCTCTTTGTTGTTATTCTTAGGACATCCAACGTCTTTGTAGCCACGGGTAGCGTGGAGGACATTTTCAAAGGCCTCCTGGTATCTTCAGCTTCTTCACTCTCCTTTAAGTGCACAGTATATGCTCCCTGTAGTTTAAAAGAGAGAGCAGAGTGTTCTATTAATAGCCTTTTTGTTGGAGAAAGAGATAGGAGGTGGAGGAGGAGGAGGAACGTGAGCAGAGAAGGAGACGGAGAGAAGGGTGAAAAGGAGATGGCACAAGAGGAGAAAGGCAAAATTCTTTAAAATATTATTCACAGTGAACTGGCAGGAGAGTTCTGACATCTATGAATAAATGACCCCCCCCCCATAGATTCCTTTTGATTGGGGTAAATTGAGTTTTTTTTTTTTTGTCAGATTCAAATATTCTGCTTCTGCAATTTGAGATAATACAAGTAAATGTAATATGTCAATTCTCAGCCGATGTTATACTGCTGTGATGTACCTCTCCTCACCTGTCATATCTACACCTGCACAGTTTTTCTTTAGTCCACTTGTGGTTTAACTACAGCTCTGCATTGTGAGCGGGAGCACTTGGTGCCTCGGTGCTGTAGCTACATCTCTGCTGTAGTCATTAGTCTTGCTTTGATCCAGCGATGCAGTGCAGCACTCTGCAGAAACCAGGGCAAACAGGGAGAGGCAGGCAGGATGGAGCAGCCCAACCAAGGACACAGGCAGCAGGAACACAGGCCTGCTGCAGGTGGCCGCTGCTGCCACAACGTTGTTGTTGTTGTTGTTAGGGAGGAGTGTGTGTCTGTTCGTGTGTGTGTGTGTGTGTGTGTGTATGTGTTGTTTGTCAGGGATGGTAGCATGCCCACAGGAGCACGGTTGAGCAGTCATACAGGCTTGCACTGTGCTCACCAGCTTGTAATTAGGAGACGAGCGCTGTGGGACTTGCTGCTAATCCAACAGGGCTGCCCTGGCACCGGACCACACCCCGTTATTAGGAGGTGTTCAGCTTTTTACACTCATTAACTCCCTGCTCTGATATCAGTCAGTGAGGATTTCTGTCATCACCTGAGAGTCTTGAAGAGGTTGAGTTGCTTTTTTAGCATATGGTAGCAGTGACTGGACTTTGGTTGTTTGGCTTGAAGAGAAGATTAAAATAAAGGAGATAGATGTTCAGTTTTTACATGCAAGCTTGCTTGTGCAGTGATGAGGAACAATGCAGAAAACATTACTGCCCTCTAGGGGTGTCAATTAGTTATGACTAAGAACGCTTATTTTTAGTGTACTTGAAATCAGTAATCAGTGGTGGAATTATTTACTTAGGCAAACCAATACAGTAATATTATTCTCATATGTCTATTACAAGTGAAATATTATCAACAAAAACCAAGTAATAAAAGTCAAAAAAAAAAAAAAAAAACTCATTATACAGAATAATGTCCCATGCAGTAATATATTATGATACATTATTAGGTTGTTACTGATGCATCAGTGTGCTGTTTGAGGTAATTGTATTTAACCACTTTAAATACAATTAAACAAAGTTAATGCTTAATAATTAACCCAGTGGTTGCCAACTCAGGGGTCAAGCCCCCTTTAATGTGTCACAAGATAAATCTGGGGGCTGTGTGATCATTAAGGGGAGGGCTAAAAACAAAGTTCTGCTACAAAAATCAACATACATTATTTGTACTTTTGAGTTTATTTGCTTCTTTTGTGAAATAATGGATCATTTCATCTCTTTCATCTTCAAACAGTAATTTAAATAAGGCTGTTAGAAGGGAAATGTCCCTTAGGCTAAACTGTGTTAACACTTCATAGACATCTAATATGTGACAAGGGGCCCCTGCTTGACTCATAAAAAAAAAGTTGGCAACTGCTTGTTTAATCGTCTTAAACAATTTACTGCATAGTTTAATATAATATTGTAATCTGAAAAGTAACTACATACAGATGTTAAATAAATGTAGTGGAGTAAAAACCATAACATTTCTGTCTGCAACGTAGTATAAAGTAACAGTAATAAGTAGCTTATTGTACTTAAGTACAGTACTGGAGTACTGGAGTAAATATACATGTTACCTTCATTACATCGCTGCTTGAAATTAAAACAAATGGCATAAATAATCTGTAGGTTTTCATTTGTCTGATCAGTAAGTGAGTCTCTTCCAGTGGAGAGGTAACTAACAGTAGTGTTGGGTTTCCGGACACAATAGGACACATGTCCGCCAGCTCCGTCCAGAGTCATATGGAGGATCAATACACTCCTATAGTGTGATGGCCACATTAAGTGGGTATGAGAGCACACACACAAACACACACACACACACACACACACACACACACACACACACACACACACACACAAACACACACACACACACACACACACACACACTTTCCTCCACCCCTCTGGGGGTGACAAATGGGCTGGGTTAAGGTCAGCCAACCATGCATCCCATCTCACAGTGAACCTGTCAGGGCACACACAGCCCAACCGACAAACAGATGCTCCGGAGCTCGTGAGCGCACACAAAACCAGGAGACATGAAATAATATGAACCAGAGCAGTATGAAAACTGGAGAAAATCCTCTTTTACACAATGACAAGGTGGGCTGAGTAAACACAGTGGGGAAAGGTCACAGGGAAACCATTGATTATCAGGCTGCAGGATAAGCTTCACTAGCAGGCGTCAATGTGGTGTTTGTACAGTACTCGACGGCCCTCTGACCTGACCTGTGGAGGGACTGATAAACACTGTGAGCCATCCTTGTGGTGGAAGTGGCATTAATCTGACTAATGGAAGTGGGTTTGGCAATCCTGTGTCATCTGAGGCAACGACATATGGAGTCCAAATGAAGCAAGTTCATGTTTAGGAGCCCCGGGCGGCTTAGCGTGGAGAGATTTATGAATGAAAGGACAACAACAATAAAACCCTGTGAATCAAAGATGCTGCTGTTGATGAAGGGTTAAAAACTCTGCTACCACTTGCTAATAAATCACCTTTTATAAATGCTTATACATTGTAACTAATGGCTTTATTCAGGGTTAATAACTCATTTACTCATGTTTAATAAGAACAACATATCCCTCTTGCTGGTGTTTATCCTCCTCCAGCATTACACTCAACACATTAAAGAAATATTTTGTGAAACGTTATGCATTTGCTTTCTTGCAGGGAGTTAGTTGAGCTAACACTCTCTAATCTGTATGTTTAGTAGAAGCCACAGCCAGGAGATGGTAAGTTTAGCTTCGTACAAAGATTGGAAACATCTAGCTGTGGTCTTCACTGGTTGTTGGCAAGAAGTAATGTGACACATAACCCCTGAATAAAACCACAACTCTACACTTTAGTTTTGTATTGATTAAACAAATGAGATATATGTAGAGATTAGATGAGCTGATAGCCAGATTGTTTAGGTAGAGCTAGGTGAGTTGTTTCCCCCTGCTAATGCCTCCAGCTTCATATTGAAAGGACAGACATGAGTGTGGTATTAATCTTCTCACCTGACTTTCAGCAAGAAAGCAAATAAGCTTATTTCCCAAAGTGTAAAACTGACTAGCATTTATTAATGGATTGCAATCATTTGTAACTGCATTATTACCAAAAAGAAAGTATAAACATCAGTCATAGGGATTTCTCACAACATGCAACCCATAAGTGGCTCATATTGATGGCTTATAACTAATCTGTAACGTATTGTTTATTAACCAATAATAAAGCCATTAGTTACAATGTATATAGGGTGCCTCAATAAAGATTGCCTTAAGATAAAGAGGAACCAAAAGTCTACAGCAGTCAGGACACTTCACTGTCTTTATACTGACGGCTTTACATTATTTCATGCTGATTTTATTCATCTTTTAAATACGAGGGTAGTCACAATGAATTCAACATTTGTCTTTGAACTGAACCCTGGCCAAGAATGCAGAACCACACACCATGAACATAAAATATTCACAAATGGAGGCAATTTAAGATACATGTCCTATGATAGATTAAAACAACCATCTAAACTTTAAATTGTACAAGCATTGAAACTGCTGTCACTCATAAGCGTGTTGAAATAAGTCAAAACCAGTCCAGTAAATATTTGACTTAAGGCGAAAACTGCATCCTTTCTGCCAGCTACATCTGGTGCAGGCCATTTCAAACATGCCAACCAGGGAAAGAATGTCGGAGGCTTTAAATATCCTAGTTTGAGTTAATATTTTATCATCATCTCAGTCCCGGGGCCTCTCCCCTTTTACATCCCATTTCCAACTCTGAGATTGTGCACAGAACGGGAACTCGGGAAATCTGTAATGCCGTCACTGCCCTGCATTTTCTTTAGACCTACCAGCTACTTTTTAACTTCCCTCCATCTTCTCCTCGCTCCTATATGTTGGCTGTGTTGCAAATAATTTGACTGCTGTCTGCTCATCAGTTCAGTAATGCATGTTCCTTTATAGAAATAGTTTTATCACACAGTTTTAACCACCGTTTTATCAGAACGATCGGATCAAATTACAGAAAATTACATCTTGATAAAACAAGGACATTCAAATGTGCTTAATAAGCAGTCCAGTGTAGAGTGGCAAACAGAACACCAGCTTAGCAGCAGAAGGAAGGTAATGCTCCGTGTGTGTTGGGGGGGTTAGGGTAAATGTGTCCCACTGCTCTCACGTAGCTTATTCATTATGTATGCAATGATCTCTTGATGAGGAGAGGGCCTCTTGCCTCAAACAAAGCGTTGTCATCACTGTGTAGATGACACTACTTGTGTTCCTTTGTCCAAATACAATACGAACAAGACTACTTGTGTCTGTGTGTGTGTTTATGGATGTGTGTGTCTAAATGACTGTGGGTTTAGAGGGAAACCTGCGTCAGTTGCTCTCGAAAACCACGAGTCTTCAAGGAAAACTGGTTAATCACGACTTCGGTCTTATTTGCATAGTTTTGGCCTTCAGTCATTTATAATAACAGAGTACTCACAAAAGTTGATTTCTGAGAAAAACATGTCAGAGAGGACAAGAAACAAAAGTAGATCTGTTATGAACATCCAACTATTTATCTACAGATGCACTTCCTAGTTAAACTTTAACCTATCATACTTGCTGTAGCTATGTTTTCTATGTTTTCCTATGTATCATCATCCTAAATTTAAGATGCATTCACTTGGAAATGTATGTAAAAAAAGTAGTATGGGTAATCTGGATAAACTTTCAGCTTTTTTACAACATTTTGTGATCACCTCATTTCTCATTTCTTGCCCCATTTATTCCCAGAGAACAACGTTAGCAGCTACATTTGCAGCTTTACTTCAATATGCCTTTTCTAGTCACTTGGGGCAACAGAACAAGCTGTACTGTAAACACAACACTGACATATTATCACCTTATAAAGTTGTTATGGTGAACGTGTTGGCAAACAATTGCCTTGTACACATCCTGCAGATAAGGTGTAACATTAGCATTTCATTTTCTGGTCCCCCAGCAAATTTAAGTATCCATTGTCCTTCCAATATGTTCACCAACTAGTTGCTAACAGTGTCTGTCTGCCATTTGTTCCTGGGCAGGTGGTGTACAGTGGGGTTTTTAGAGCTTTTTCCACTGAAAACAGCTCCTGTTGCTGCTGGAAACCAGCTTGATGAGAGGCGGGCCCCGGCGCCACAAGGGGGCTA